GGCTTGTGTATAATAGATAGGTTAAATGTGAATAAGATTATATCAATATTTGACTTAACAAGTAGGATTGCTTAATTTGTCCTTGGGTTATTACTAATTCAATCAAAACCATAACACAAGATAGCATTTAGGTATGTGAAGACAGTGACCAGTGCTCTGCCTGTATATATGTAAATTGCATCAACTTGCTCCTCCTTACTAGTTTTTATATTTCAGGCTGAAAGAATATTCTCAGAGGTTAGAAGGATTGAGAATTATAGAGTTGAAGGCATGGAGATCTACTCCACAACACTTTGGCATCTTCAAAAAGATGTTGCTCTTTCAGTTCTTTCAAAAGACTTAACAGACATGGATAAAAATTCACCAGAGGTATGTTATCTGTAACACTTTACTTACATGGTTACCTTTTGGGTTTTTGTTTGTTTTGCCCACTGAACCCCTCCTTTTCTCTCGCATAGTTACCGTTTGACCACCCTTAACACATGGAGATAAACCAAACACTTTAAACACTGTTTAGTATCACCCAGTTATTTTTTTCTATCTAGGTAGGGACTCAGAGAAGAAAAGAAAGTCCTAGAATATATGGTGCAGAATCACAAATAGAAGAATCACAAAAATATTTCATTCAGGATTAATCAAGATTGGAATGTGTTAAAGTTGTTGTTGTCACCAAGATTATAGATTGAAAAAAATGCCAATTTTAAATTAAATTAGTAATCTTAATTGTCATTTTAAGAGAAGCACAATTCATATACTTCAATCTTGTAAGAATTGTATTTCAGTGCATCTCAAAAATATTTAGTAATCACTTTTTTAACATATTTAAGCTTAGAATTAAGTACAGTCAATTCTCATTACTCACTGTAGTTCTGTAGTCACCGTGAACACTGAATTAGTGATACTGAACCAGTGCTTGTAAGGGAAGTACGTGTGTGTGTGTGTGTGTGTGTGTGAGAGAGAGAGAGAGAGAGAGAGAGAGAGAGAGATGGCTGGCCAGTATGGGGATCTGAACCCTTAAACTTAGTGTTATAACACCATGCTCTAACCAAGTGAGCTAACCAGCCAGCTCTGATTCTATTTTTTTTTTTTTAATTTACAAAGAGAAAATGAGGTTCTGAAGCCAACTTGCTGTCCTAATTAATGGGTGCCAGTGGTGGGATTCAACCTTTGCCCAACTGTCCCCAGAACCAGAGCTTCTTTTATTATGCTGCCCCCTACAGTTTCTGTCCTCTGGTCATCTCTATGACAACTGAGACAAGAAGGCAGGGAGTTGCCTTGTTTGACCTCAATTGAGAACATGCCTGTTGGGTGACTCAAATGTTGATTCTGCCAGTGAATAATGAGGATCAACTGTTTATCTGCTAATGCTCTTCAGTTTTTGTCTTTCTGTCCTAAATGGATCTGAGGCTTGATTTTAGTCAGATTTGGTTTTGTTAGTAAAAAAATAAAATAACGGCCGGCCCGGTGGCGCACTGGATAGTGCGCCGCTTGGGAAGCGCGGCGGCGCTCCCATCCGAGG